TTGGTTGCTTATTAGAATTTTCTGGAGGAAGCCACTCTGAGGATGGTTGCTATGGCCACCATCCTTCATTCCACAGCACTCGGCCTGAGTTTGAATACCGAGTAGAAGCTGGCTAGGGTATCTGAGTGTTCATGCAGTGGTTTCCTGCCAATTAGAAGCACACCCCCGCTCTCGCTAGAGAACTGCTAGAAGATGCCCCGCAACTGTTCCATTTGGGGAAAAGAACCTTTCGGGAAGGAGAGGTTTCTTACAAGGCACAGGGCTTGACCAGTGAAATCTGAGCAAGTTTTCAGACCTCTTATCCTCTCGGTGGGCATGAAAGCAGAATTGTTCGGGGAGGTCCAAAAGGAGATTTGGGGCATCCTGGGTTCTATGACTCAGTTTTCAATATCAAGTCATTTATCTATGATTATTACTAGCTAGGGCTAGGAATGTAGCTCAGTGGTAGAACACCTGCCTGGCATGCATAAGGTCCCAGGTTCAGTTCCATTAACACACACACACACACGCACACACACACGCGCACACACACGCACGTTACCAGCTCGTAGAAGCACCTCAGCGTGGGTTATTTAAATTCGTCTGAATAGGTGCCCTGTGTCTGAGGCTGACCTTTTTCAGACGAGGACACTGAAGCCGGGGTTCAGAATCTTGACAGCATCAGGTTTTATCCTTGTCCTGACACCTTTCCTGGAACTCATTAACTTCTTCCTTCATTTTTTCCCCCATAGCACTTATGACTGACACTGTGGTTCTCTTTTAATTTTTTGGTAGTTCCTCCTAAATAGAATGTAGGCTCTCTGAAATTGTTTTATCCACTGCTATAACCCCTTTGCTTAGAACAGAACTTAGCACACATTGGGCTCATTCAATGTTGGCTAAATGAATGAACTATTAAAATGTCAGGGTTCTCTCAACACCAGCCTATCTCAACAGCACCTGCTAATGCTGTAAGGTTTCCTAGATTTAAAAAACATTATGTCAGCATAAAATGTCAACTACAGGCCGGAGAGGTGGCTCAGCGGTTAGGAACACTGGTTGTTCTTGCAGAAGACCCGGGTTCAAATCCCAGCACCCACATGGCAGCTAACAACTGTCCGTAACTCCAGTTCCAGGGGATCCAACGGCCTCTTCTGTCCTCGTGGGCATTGCAAAACACAGGTGTACTTACCTATTTGCAGGCAATACACTCATACACATAAAATAAAAGTAATAAACTTTAAAAAAAATGTCAATAAATAAATAAATAAATAAATAAATAATCTGAACACTAAGCTAAATCTTAGAATGTTTGGCTAAGATGCACAAGGTGTGCGCACACGCACGTGTGCACACACACACACACACACACACACACACACATACACATACACACACGCACGCATGCACACACACGCACACACACATACACATACACACACGCACGCATGCACAGGTTCAGTTCCATTAACACACACACACGCACACACACGCGCACACACACGCACGTTACCAGCTCGTAGAAGCACCTCAGCGTGGGTTATTTAAATCAGTCTGAATAGGCGCCCTGTGTCTGAGGCTGACCTTTTTCAGACGAGGACACCGAAGCTGGGGTTGGGAATCTTGACAGCATCAGGTTTTATCCTTGTCCTGACACCTTTCCTGGAACTCATTAACTTCTTCCTTCATTTTTTCCCCCATAGCACTTATGACTGACACTGTGGTTCTCTTTTAATTTTTTGGTAGTTCCTCCTAAATAGAATGTAGGCTCTCTGAAATTGTTTTATCCACTGCTATAACCCCTTTGCTTAGAACAGAACTTAGCACACATTGGGCTCATTCAATGTTGGCTAAATGAATGAACTATTAAAATGTCAGGGTTCTCTCGACACCAGCCTATCTCAACAGCATCTGCTAATGCTGTAAGGTTTCCTAGATTTAAAAAACATTATGTCAGCATAAAATGTCAACTACAGGCCGGAGAGGTGGCTCAGCGGTTAGGAACACTGGTTGTTCTTGCAGAAGACCCGGGTTCAAATCCCAGCACCCACATGGCAGCTAACAACTGTCCGTAACTCCAGTTCCAGGGGATCCAACGGCCTCTTCTGTCCTTGCGGGCATTGCAAAACACAGGTGCACTTACCTATTTGCAGGCAATACACTCATACACATAAAATAAAAGTAATAAAAACACAGGTGTACTTACCTATTTGCAGGCAATACACTCATACACATAAAATAAAAGTAATAAACTTTAAAAAAATGTCAACTACTATCATCAGGATTCTCTTTGGCTTATAAAAGGCCATTTATACATTTAGTTATATGTGCCATGACTAAAGACTGGGTTTTAATGAGAAGTCTTCTACCCTAAATTTCATGTTTGCTTTACTTTGAAAAGAGAAACTATCTATTGCATGAGGAAGCTTTCTTGGTGAAAGTTGAGAGATGCATTAATAGTCTTTTTAAAATATTTCATTCATTATTTTTATTTTATGTGTGTGAGTGTTTTGCCTGCGTGCATGTAAGTGCACCATGTGAATGCAATGCCCCACAGAGGCCAGAAGAGGATATTGGATCCCTGAAATTGGAGGTATGGACAGTTGTTAGCCATCACGTGGGTGATAAGAATCCAACCTGGGTCCTCTGGAAGAACAGAAAGTGATGTTAACCACTGAGCCATCTCTCCAACCCTAGAGAGGTTCATTAATATGCTTTCCACCCACTGTTCCACTAGGTTTCCTGAGACTTAGATGTAGAGGTTGCATTGTAGCTGTGTCACTCAGGGCTGAGCACCTCACACACACTTATTCTCTGGTTTGACCAGTTATGGAAAATCTATGCCACCCAAAGCTCAGAGACCATTGTGGAGGAGGGGGCAGAAAAATTGAAAGAGCCAGAGGCGGTGGAAGACCACACACACACAAAAAAAGAAAAACCAGTTTTCCAGACAGCTGGGAAGTTACTCATGAATTTACAGCAATGGAAACAGCATTCATAAGACTCACGCAAACTCAAACCAGACAAAATCCCAACAAAGAAGTGGGAAAGTACGGAGAAACTCCAGCCTCAGTTGAGGATCTATTGGCAACTGGTAACTACTGGGAGAGGGAGAGTTAGGTTTCTTTATGTGTGATGTTAGGTTATCCAGGCTATAGTGGATGGGTGCACACCAAAGGCTATCTGGGGCCAAAAACTTGACTCATTAGGGCTTAATATATATGACAGAATACATGACAACTGGTGGGGGTTTATAAGAGGTGCAGCTAGGAGAGGAGGGTCTAAATATTAAAATATGTTTTTTGAAACTTGCAAAAATTTAATAAAAATAAGAGAAATTGTAGGCTAATAAACCTGGGTATTTTCTATCAACTAAAATATTTCTGCCTTAAAACGGGTTGATTTGTAGCTGATCATTTTCCCTTTTTTTTTTTTTTTTCCTTATTTTACTTTTTTGTGGGGTAGGATGCAGCACTGAATTGTCCAGACTGGTCTTAAACTCCTAGGTTCAAGCAATTGTATATTGGCCTCCCCAGAAACTGAGATATAGGCACATACAAATATGCCAGGCTTATCTGGTTTATGATTGATTTCTATAATAATTCAAACAAAAACATCAAGTCCTGTTATGGTCTGCAGTTAATTTCCACATAGCAGTACAGAACAACTTGGCAAAGTTTTTACGTAGAAGTGCTCGGAGCTCACAGAGTAGATAAATCTTTCAAAATGAAATCTCTCCTCTTGCTGGTTACTTTATGGCATGCTAGATATCATGTTTCATATCTTAAAAGTTGCAAGTCAGACTTTGTTATTCTTTTAGGACAGCTGCAACTTTCGATTCATTTTCTACAGTGGTTACCTTGGTTTCTTAAGAGCTGGCTATCTGTGGGCTATCTTGTGCCTCGGATTGCTGGAGGAACAAAGGGAGCATTTAGAGATGTCCTCTGCCCTCTTGTAGTTTACACAATGAATGGAAGACCGCACAGAGTTCCACAGAGTTACGCACATTCCAGTGGGTCCAACAATAACGGTTGACATTCCATTTGTAGTTAGAGAAGCTTGCCAGCCGGGAGCTCTTTCCTTTTTTTTCCCCCTGGATTTACCAGAACCAACTGAACTGGAAAATGTTATTTGCTTTGACGAAATGATTTACTCTTGTGCAACATTAAATTGTGTCAGTTAAGCAAACAGAGGAAGAGAGCCTTATTTATAAAATAGCCTGCTTCTTACTTCATCTTATATCTCAGGCTGCAGGAGGGGAAAATGAGGCTTTTGATACTTGGTACTTTTCTGTTTTTACACGGTACCCCAGTCTGGACAAGAGATAAGCGTTATTACATCGGAATTATTGAAGCAGTTTGGAACTATGCTTCTGACAATGAGGAAAAGAAACTTATTTCTGTTGACACGTAAGTCACTATTTTTGTTATGTCCAAATTTATAAAGACAACAAGAAAAGTATTAATTTATTATATATAGAAACTTCAGAGTGATGACTTGAAACCCAAAATACATTACTTGGTCTTCTTTATAGTCTCAATATTTTTCATTGCAGAGTTACCCTGTGCCTTTCCTGTTGTTCTGAGGGAACCATGTGGGTTTTGCATTGTCTCCCGTGATCATTCCTACATCTCCCTGTGACCTGTCTTTCTGGCTCTAGATGAAAAGTTCTATAGTAATTGAAACAATTACTATGGAAAATGTTTATCACACCACTATTGGATCCTAATGGTGAAAGTCCAATATTTTTAACCCTTCAAAACATCATTTATAGAAATAAAATACAATTTTAAAATATTTTATTTATTATTTTTGTTTTATGTGTATCAGTGTATTGCCTGCATGTATGTAAGTGCATCTGTGTCATGCAGTGCCCATAGAGGTCAGAAGAGGGTGTCTGATTCCCGTGAAACCAGAGTTACCAATAGTTGTTAGCTGTCATGTGGTAGCTGGGGATTGGACCCAGGTCCTCTGCAGGAGCAGCCAGTGCTCTTAACCTCTGGGCCATCTCTCCAGCCCCATGAAACACAATTTTTAAAGAAGTATGTTCTGCCCAGTACTTGTCAGGCGATTCTGGCCAGTAAACGAATAATGCTAATCATTCACAGTTTCTGAGTCCTTACCTGTAAAATGAGACAAGAAGCATGCCTCACAGGGTTGGTTTAAAAGTGCGTGCCTGCAAAGCTCTTAGCACAGTGCTTGGCACATCTATGTGTACAGGAAATGTTATATTTTTACTATGAAGGCCCTAGCAAAACACCATATAATTTAAATGTTTTGTGCTTCAGTTGGAAGCCCCTTTATTTCAAGCAATTTTCATCATACAGAAAAACAGTACAGTTCTCCTTGAAGTTTATCTAAGCTGAGGTAATCACTTTTAATAATAGTAACTAAACATTTACCACCAAATGAAACTTGTCATTCAAAACTAATAGTTACTATACTAAAACATTTATTTTAATGGTAATAAAACTCAGGGAAGTAAAATGATCAGCATCCACTAAGACCGTCTCTTTAAAAACAACTATAGCAGTAAGCCAAATAACATTGACTCATTGATGGGTATACACTGTTCTTCTTAATTTTATACGTGGTTGAAAATTTTCACGGTAAAACATAAATACATAGCTAATGATGACATCCAATAGTTATTTTACTAATCTAGCAATATCCAGTAAGACAAATTTCTGATCTAAAGATAACTGGTTACAGGGGCTGGAGAGATGGCTCAGCAGTTAAGAGCACTGGCTGCTCTTGCAGAGGACCCGGGTTCAATTCCCAGCACCCACATGGCGGCTATGAACCATCCTTAACTCCAGTTCCAGGGGAATCTGAAGCCTTCTTCTGACCTCTGTGGCATTGCATGACATTGGTGCACTCACATACATGCAGGCAATATACTCATACACATAAAAATTTAAAAACTCTATCTATCTATCTATCTATCTATCTATCTATCTATCTAT